GAGAGAGAGATGTAACCTGGGTGGGGCATGCCCCTCTAGAGACCTTCAGAGAGAGAATAATCTTAGAGAGAGAATAAGTGTAGAGATCATGAAAAAGAATGATCTCTTTTATAGATTTTTTATGCATCAGGGTTTGTCTTTTTAATGGGAGGATCAAACTTAACCATTGAACTAAGGAGACTTGTGGGGTGAGGTGTGCGTCAATCATTCCTTATATCCACCATCAAAATTCTAATGAAGGCACTAGAACATTATCCTCCCCTTCCTAAACCTATTCCCATCAAATAAATTAAATAACGAAAATATCTCTTTATTTTCTCTTTTAGTAAATATTCATTCCATATCTTTCAATGAAGCCTTTTTTATTCTCAAGACATTCTAAAACCATTTATTTCATTCCATATGCAAGAGGACTTCCCACCTAATTTAGGAAAGACAACTAACATGGAGATCCCCTCACAATATTTAGTAAGAGGTCACCTCCTCATGGGTGGGGCATGCCACCCATTGCGGCCTCTCATAAGCCCCACCCAATCCCACGAAAAATATTAAATGGGCCCCCATGTGTAAAGGTAGGTTCCACATATTTTTAGAAATAATAAAATTTGATTTTTAGATTTTTTTTAAACCTCTTAGTTTATTTAAAAGTTCAGAAAATGAATTTCTCTTTATTTATAAATCCAAATGACAATATTAAAATATCAGAAGATTCACAAAATTTCAAATAAACATTCTAAAAATCAAATAACATAAAATTAATTAAACTAAATTATTTTTATGATAATCGAATCTATATAGGTCTAGGATTTTATCAACGCACAAGAGTACTCCACCTTTAACTGTGGACCACGATCCACAATAGCTTTCTCAAACTGACCCAGCAGTTCCCATGACTCACAGTCCACTGCACGGCTCATAATTGGACCGTCAAAGTCAATCAATGGGCTAGGGGACATAATCTAAGTCTGTGAATTTCAAGTTCTCCCCTAAAGACAAAATCATGATCTGCTAGACCATGATGCAACCACGACTCTATAGTGCATAGAGGTAATCTCTAACACATGTACACGCTCCACCTTCAATAGTGGATATTTATCTCAATACAGCTATCTATATACATACCGTATAGAGGTTTTAACCTTATCTCTATAAGCCATCCAATAGAGGTTTTAGCCTTAAGCCATCCATCACACACAAATGTCACACAGTCCCTCGGCTCTCATCCGGGTATACTCCAGCCTCATCAAGGGCTAACCCACTAAACCCTTCTTGATTTTAACTCTATGCCCTGGGACCTTGGGTTTTTCATAACTCGATTAGACTAACACATTGAGTCTAGTCCGAGTATCGACAAATTACATTTGCCTAGTATGGTCCACAAGAGGACCACACTCCCACTGAGTTTATTACTCATTTATTCAAAATGTTCTATACAATCTCTCTTAAGGAAGGCCACATAAATCCAACATTTTCCATCAATGGCATTGCAATGACAAATTTCTTCATTTTCTAATTTTCTTTTTACCTAATTTTCCAATGCTTTTCTTATAACTAACCTTTGTATTTAAACCACATAAGCTTTGAATGCAGAATTTTTCACGAGAAATGGAAAAATCTGAGTAGCAAAACTTGCCACATTTAGCAGTCTTGAAAACCTGGCATAGAGAAAATTACAAAAAAACTTGCCAAAATTTTAACAAGAAATTGTAAAATTCGGGTTTTAGAAACTTACCACATATAGCAGCAAGGCTCAGAGAGGTTTTTGCAGTGCCTAAGAAGACCTCTTTCACTGGAGCAATGGGAGCCAAAGAAGCAGACGCTTGAGGAATTGTGGAGACCGATCTCATGTTTAGAGTCTTTGCTCTGTTTCTGAAACCATAGGCAACAGTTTGTGGCCTCTTGGCAATACCAGGGACTAGGCACAGTGCATAACCAGGAAGAAGACGAGATGTTAGATTTGCCATTAATGGACACGCAAGAAACGATACCTTCACTCTTAAAGCTACTTCATGAGAAATTTTTACAGTGAATCATCAAATATGGAAACCATAGAACAAATGGATTCTCTCTGAAGCTTTGTAAAAGAGGTATCAATGAACTACTTTGTCATTTCTGCAAGCCCCGGAAGGTAGTGCAAAAGTCCACTAGAAGAAACCTTGGAAACTGATGATTTAGCCATATGGCTCTTCTAAGTCAAGGTTGAGCTTTTAAGAAACCAGTATTGATGAAGTCAAACAAACTTTCATGGATTAAAGCCCTAGAATCCATGGTCCCTCTCTCTAACTGCTCTGAAACAACGTGCCAATAATAGATATATCAGAAATTGAAAAGAAACCCTCAATACAGTGTCATTTCTCTGCAATTATCATGAATCAAAGAAAAATAAAGGAGGACTTGTTGGGACCCTAGATCCAATTCCTTTTCTGCAACCTCTGTTTTCTTCTTGAATAAAATACTTCCCTATATGAGTTTTCAGAACCAAAATCGATAAGGAATTACCTCATTTAGAAACCCTATACCCGCCCAAGACACATAAACCACAGCTGCCTTTAGAAGTCTTCCAATGAAGAGAAAGCAGGTCAACTTCTTGCAGAAACCACAGCTCCACTATGAGATTAAAAAGAGAGAGAGTTCTCTGAAGAAGAGAAAGAGAATGAGTGGGGCCGATCAAGAAGGCCTTTGAATCAGCAGTGTGGAGCAGCTGACAGCACAAAGCTCGGCAATTGTGTGCAAGTGATGGACACGTGGCGACGTATCAATGGGTTTTTCCATTTGGCGGGAACAACGTACTCTTCCCTCGTAGCAATCGTAATCATTTTTTTAAAAAAAATTGTTCTGGAAGGGCAAAATTTAATAATAGAAAATGCCCTCTACTTACTTTTTGTTTGCATTAGCGTCCGTCCACTTGGCGGTCGGGGATAGAAACAGGTCTGGTCAGGTCAGCAGCTAATTTGGAACCTGATCCGACTCGAAAAAGTAGAATATCTATCTATTTTATCTGGGTCTGGTTTGTATAGGGTTGCAACTTTAAACAATTTAATTATAGCGCATCTCTAAATTTTATCATAGCACGTCATTTTGGTATAAAAAATTATTATAAATATCTCAAAATCTATTTTCATATTTAATTATAATTTTTTAAACTCAAAACACAGTTAAAATCAAGAAAATTATAAAAAAAAAAAACCATTATATGCAACTTACCCCGATCCAAACCTTTTTTCACACTTTTTTTTCCCTACAACAATCTTTTTTCGCAAAAAGCCCAAGGTAAAACATTGTTATTTTTTTGACAAAAATGCCTTTCTTATACAAAAAAATCAATTGGCGCTGGCTATTTGTTCCAAGTAGTATATTGTCGGAGCGCAAAATCGGAGCAAATTGTCTAGAACATACTGCCGGAGCGTATATGTATCGAGCGTCGGAGTCGTATATGGAAACGATATAGAAGTTAACAATATGAGATAATAGGATACTTTTCCTAAAAAAAAATTGTTATCCAATAAAATTACAGTTTTTCTAATACCAATTGCAAAAAATACTAAGCATTTTTTCTTTTATTATAAAGCCGTTTGGGTGTTAAAGTATATTTTTCTCTCTAGGATTCTCTCCCTCAACATGAAGGGGATTTACAAGTATAGGAGTCGCAAGCTCAGTGGACAACAATTTTTTTTCAAAAACAATTTACAAGTGGAGAATGATAATGAGAGAGAGTAAAATTGGGATTGTTTTTGGAAATCTTTTTGTAAGCTCCAGATGATCTCCATTGTTTTTGCAAAAACAAAATCTTTCCAAAAGGGGATTCTTTTTGTGAAAACATGATGCTTTTTTAAAACAATTGTTTTTGGAACAATATTAAGATGATATTGGAAATCTTTTTACAAGCTGTGAATTCCTGCCATGGATGGCTTTATCGAACTTCAAAACAATTTTTTTATAATGATTCGATTGTAAAATTGTGAAGCCCTCATGCTTCGATTCTTCTCAAGACTTTGCCCTAAAAACCTCTTAGAAACCCTAGCTTGTTTCTCCTGTCCATGTGGCAGGTTGCAATGCAATATTTTTGACGCAATTAGAGAGAGTAAGAGGAGCTCTCAAGACACGAGTTCTAGAGAGAGAATGAGGAGCTCTCAAGAGATTGGTTATAGAGAAAGAAAGAGGAGCTCTCAAGATAATGGTTCTAGAGAAAGAAAGAGGAGCTCAATAACTGGTTATTGATAGAGAAATAGGAGCACTCTCACTAGCAGTAGTTTAGAGAGATAGTAGACTTCAGGTTGAAGTAGTTTAGAGAAAGAGAGTAGATTTCGGGTTTATGAGGTTTTAAGGTGTGGGTTGTTGGGTCATAAAGTGTGGTTTATATGGGGTGTGAGAGCTGCACTTTCATAAAAAAAAAATTTTCAACTCTAATTCTTTTTACGTTAACTTTTGCCTCGATACAACAATACTTTTTATTTTAATCTAAAAATCTAATAAAATCTTGTAGTTGTCCAAACGGTTCAAATATATTTCACAAGATTTTTGGATTGCAATTTTGGGTACATCCAAACTAACAATGAAAGAGTAATGATCATTTGAGACCCTAACCCAAAAGGATCATCATTAAATTAGGAACATATCTCTAGAAAAGTCAAATCCTACACCTAACTTTTTTAGAGATCTATACCATATTTAGAGATATGTATCATATTTAATAGTGATCATTTGAAGTGTTGTACACATGAGCGTGGGAGAATCTCGTATGATTATTACTCAAGATGAAAATACATTTTAATGGCTATTAAAAAGATTTCTAGAGTTAGAAGCAACATTTCTTGACACTATTTAAAGGTCGGCTCTAATTCGATTGTTTAGAGCCTAGGCTCTATACAAAGCCCACCCATTATAAAATCTTAAGCTCAAAAAATGGTAATTATCTGTGTGCTCCAAGTGGTCATGTCGAAGAAACAAGTTCATCTAAACCGTAAGTTATTGACAACGGACGATCGATGTTAGAGAGAGGTGCCTCCGCAGAGAGCATAACAGCATGCGAACTTGAGTGGGGGGATAGAGCTTAGAGATGAAGTCGCTCAAAAAAAACTAAGTGGCGCTTTTATTGTTTATACAGGACACTTGACTCTGTCTCTGCAAATGCTGCCATGGCAGTTGCAGAGATGGTTATGGAGGAATGGAACGGCTCTTCTTCAGCTAATTTAACCAGAACTGTTCTCCTCACAGCAACCTCTTCTTCCTATTCAATTCAAAGGTGCTATTCTCCTTAATTTTCCCACTCAGAAATCACAAAACACACACACTCTCTCTCGACACTTATACTTCCTCCATTCCATTTTTATCTGGGTAAGGTTTGGATGAGTCTGACGAGTACCCCAATTCCAAAATCAATCTTAGAGATGAGTTTCGGATCCAAACTTTGGGTTGAGAATCACAACCATGATGAACGTGATTCTGGAAACTGAAAATAAACTATGGAAATAAAAATAGTGTTTTCTTTTATATGTATTTTAACACCGTCTATCTTAGTTTTTGTCGGAGCCATCATTTTTTCACATCCTTCTTGGATGTTTGATGCATAACGAGACACGGCCGTGGAACTGTATCTCCTGACTCATGTAATATTCGTTTCCTTTTTATTATCTCACTCCAAAGATGAAACTGATTTAATATTTGCTTTTTGTGGCAGATCAGGCAGTCGGTTTGTCGAGTTCAGGCGCCGAGTTCTAGCTGCCTTTGTACCGGAGGCATGTATTCTCACTTTATTGTGTTTTAATGGAATTTAGGGTTTGAAAGCTGTGTTTTCCAACGGTTAGTGAATTTGTCCTTTGAAAGATTCGGAAAAAGAAATATGTTTTTCAATTGTTTGGAAATTGTAGTATACTAGTTGAATGATGAGAAGTCTGGGTTTATTGTCACGTTAATTTGGTTATTCCTTAAATTAATTGCTTAGCATAGTAGATAAGAGGAAATGATTTAAACTTTCTAGAAGAAGGGGGAGGTGAGGGAATTAGGCAAAATAGAGAAAAAGCATAAGGGCTCCTCAAAATAGGAAGCTCGCTGGGGAAAGGATGCGACTATGTGGGCGTGCGAGGGTTATTGGAGTTTCGTTGGGTGAAATGGGGCAGAAAATGATACAATTTTGAAAATAGGGCACTGGAACTCTTATTGTTTTCGAGCACGTAGGAGCGCTATCTCAAGACGATATTTGCCCCCCATCGATAGATTATTTGATGTGTATAAGAAGGATAATTCGTTATCGGGATACAGGAAAACAGAGAGGCATTTTTCAATATTTCTAAGCTCCATGCACCTGAGCTTGGAACCCACATAATAAACACCAGTCTTGTTGTATTAAAGAGAGAAGGAGATAAAATCGAGCAGAGAGAGAATTAGCCCACTGGTTTGCTTGTTGGAATTGTAGAGAATAGTTAATTGAGAGAGGCTAAAAAATTGTTCGAAGTGTCCAAAGACGTATGGGCAGGAGGGCGGTGGTGGTTACATGCACCCCAACAACTACAAGTTACATGCACTTGAAGGATGACTGCTGTTACAAGCCTCCATCTCATCAACGACTAGATGACAGTTGGATATCCCACATGCCTCAATGGCTAGAAGATTGTTGGATTTCCCTGTGAATTGGGCTCATAAAAAGATAACAAGCCACGAGCCTGACCAGCACATGTGCTTGGGTGAGGGGTGCCTTATGCATTGATGCGAGCGTGCAAAGTGCAAAGTGTGCCATCAAGCGCCCTTGCGCCCACTCCCTTGCACACGCACGTGCGGGTGCTCCGCACATGTGCCTTATCTCTCATTTACACTTAAAGTACATTTCATGGGAATACGTGCTCTTAAATACGTCTCAACATACTCTCTCATCTTCAATGTGGGACTCAAACCCACATCTTTCTCTCTCTACAAAGGCATTTTAGGAAAGTACAATAAAATCAAAGATATTGTTTTGAAATAGCATTTTTCAAACAAAAGATACTAACAATTTCCTCCATTATTGTTAGAGTGTCTTTCAATTTGAACTCTTATTTACATATAAAACATATTATTTGTATGTTATGAAAGTATATTTTGATTTGAACTTTCACTTAGAGTGTACATTACAAAGTCCATCAAGTATCATGGTAGCGTATAACTTTGAACTGGGTTGTTTATCTAACAGACCGGTAGTATAACTCACAAACAATATTCAACTCTGGTGTCTTTTTAGCTGCTAGTACGTTTTGGACCTTGTGCTTATGTCCCAATTTCATAAGTGCTCTAAAGACGAATCCATCTCATGGGAAGCGGCCTCACTTCCACATTTATATAGGTGTGTCTATCAAGAGCGCTCATGTATATAAAACACTCCGACTTGTATGTAGTATATAGACAACATTAAGAGCATAGCTCATCCTACTAACATACAAGTCATCACTAGACTTATCCACTGTATGGATTTTCTATGAATGGGTGCTTTATATATTTTGTCATCTAGTGACCAAACTAACCATACGTACAGTTTGTTTTTACCACATTGAACTTAGAGTTTTGAGGTTACAAAAGACTAAGTTGGGTTCTCACTGTAGATAATTACTCAATGGGCTCTAGCCCCATGCATTTTGACATCTTACTAATGTCATCGCTTGCAAAACCGGGACACTATTCAAGAGAGTGCCGACACCGGAAAGGGCTCAAAGGCCTAGAAACCAAGTGAACTTTACCACTGAAGAAAATTTTGTACCAATGGTTACCGAAGTAAATATGATCAGTAAAGGCAATGGATGGTAGGTCGATACCGGTGCTACCATTCATGTGTCTAATAATTGAGACATGTTTAAGACTTTTGAACCAGTGGGTGACAGTAATTCAATTCGACTAAGAACCCAGCTATGGCAAATATGCTTGGAAAGGGTACGGTGGATCTAAAGTTGAGTCCGGGTAAGGCACTCTCACCTTAGAAAATATGTACTACGCACCTGAAAAGAGAATAAACCTTGTTTCAGGATGTATCTTGAACAAGAAGGGCTTTAAAATGGTCATTAGGTGTGACAAACTCATCTTGATAAAAAATAGTGTATTTGTTGGCTAGGGTACTCATGTGATGGGATGTTCAAATTTGATCTTGTGAATGAAATGAATAACTCTTCTGCTTATATTGTTACTTCTTGTAATGTATGGCATGGTAGATTAGGTCATGTTAATTATGCTTTTATTAAATCTTTGGTTAAATTAGCATTGATTTCTAATTGTGCTGAATTATCTAAAGAAAAATGTGAAGTATGTGAACAGGCTCAAATCACTAGAAAATCATTTCCTTCAATTGAAAGAAATAGTGAATTGCTAAGACTTATACATAGTGATGTATGTGATCTAAATAATGTTCTAACTAGAGGAGGTAAAAGATATTTTATTACCTTTATTGATAATTTTTCTAGATTTTCTTATGTTTATTTGCTTAGACATAAATATGAGCATTTGAAAAATTTAAAGTTTTCAAAACAGAAGTTGAAAATTAACCTAGAAAATTAAAATTATTAGATGTGATAGAGGAGGAGAATATTTATCAAATGACTTTCATGAATTTTGTGAAAATAATGACATTATTCATCAAGTAACTACTCCATATACCCCTCAACAAAATGGATTAGCAGAAAGGTAAAATAGAACTTTAGTTGAAATGGTAAATGCTATGCTTATTTCTTCTTCTTACTATTGAATTTGTGGGGTGAAGCTTTATTATTTGCATGCTTTATTTTGAATAGAATTCCATATAAAAAGAGTGATAAGTCCCCTTATGAGCTTTGGTTTGATAAAAAACCTTCTATGAAAGTTTTTCAAAGTATGGGGTTGTCTTGCACATGCTAGACTTCCATACCCTAAAAGAAATAAATTGGGTACTAGAACATTTAAATGTGTTGTTGTGGGATATTCTTATAATAATAAAGCTTATAGATTTTTGGATTTGAATTCTAACACAATTTTGGAATCTAGAGATGCTGAATTTTTTGAAAATCTCACTTGTAAAAATGAAGTGAATTAATCAAGTAGCATGCAAAATGAAAACAATCATGAAAATACTGAATATATTGATGAAGAACATGTAGAAAATAATGCTGATGAAATAATAGAACCACGAAGAAGTAAGAGAATTAGAGGTGATCCATCTTACAACTTTGGACCTGATTTTTATATTTATCTTGTTGAGGCTAATCAAAATAAATTTTGAATTCATTATCTATAGTCTCAAATGTGAAGGAAGATCTTACATCTCTAAATGAAGTTTTGGCATCTCAAGGTGCAATTTTTTGGAGAGAAGCTATAAATAATGAAATGGATTCCATTATAGCTAAGAAAACTTGGAAATTAGTAGATCTTCCACCTGTTCTAAACCCATTAATTGTCAATGGATTTTTAAAAGAAAAATGAATTTTGATGGTTCTATTAATAAATATAAAGCAAAATTAGTTGCTAAAGGTTTTAAACAAAAAGAAGGCATTGATTATTTTGACACATATGTACCAGTAGCAAAAATTGCTACTATTAGATTGCTCTTAGGAATAGCCTCTTCTAATCATCTAGTCATACATCAAATGGATGTAAAAACTAATTTCTCAAATGGTGATTTAGATGAAGAAATATATATAAAACAACCCGAAGGGTTTGTGATGCCAGGTCAAGAGAATAAAGTTTGTAAATTGGTTAAATCCCTTATGGACTAAAACAAGCACCTAAACAATGGCATAAGAATTTGACAATGTGTTGATGTCAAATGGTTTTAAGAGAAATGAGGCTGATAAATGTGTGTATATTAAAAAAATAAATTATTTATGTGACATAATTTGTTTATATGTGGATGACATGCTTATCTTTGGCTCTAATCTAGAAATTGTGGAGGAAACTAAAAAGTTTCTCGCATCTAACTTTAATATGAAGGACTTCGGAGAGGCTAATGTGATACTTGGTATCAAAATAGTGAGAAAAGAAAAAATATTAATCATGACTCAATCTTACTACATTGAGAAAATGTTTAATAAATTTGAGCTTATTGATAGTAAGTAGGGCATGTCTCTACCCCTATAGATCCTTATATTAAGTTAAAGAAAATTATGGGAGATGTAGATCTCAACTTGAATATGATAGAGTAATTGGTAGTTTGATGTATGCAATGACTAGCACGAGGCCTGACATTGCATATGCGGTTCGCAAACTTAGTAGATGTACAAGTTGCCCAAGTAAAGAGCATTGGGATGCTATATCTCGAAGGTTTGCATTAGATTTTTGCTCAACAAGGTTTGCCTTAGAGTGAAAATTAATTAATTCATCTTTCTTTTCCCTAAGTCTATTATCTTCTTCAATTTGAAGAGATCTTTGAAGTTTGACCAAATCAAGATCAACTTTCTTGTGTTTCATCTTCTTTTGGTACTCTCTCCACGATGGGGGTAACTTTTGAATTATTGAGCCTACTAGGAAATATTCATTCAAAGAAATACCACAATCTTTAATTCATTGACTACAAGCTGCAACTCATATACTTGAGACAGTATAGGCTTGTTTTCAATGAATTTAAAATCTAAAAAGTTAGAGATAAAAAATCTTTTGTTAGCAGACTCTTCCGTTAGGTACTTGGTTTCAAGTAATTTCCATAGCTCTCTCGGCGTGCCAATGGAGGCATACATGTCAATATATCATAGATCGGATCTGCTAAGGCATTTAGGATATGACCCTTGCATATATAGTCATCCTTCATCCATCT